TAATCACAGCACTTTGGGAGGCTGAGTCGGGCAGATCATAGGTCAGGAGTTCAAGACTAGCCTGACCAACATGGTGAACCCTTGTCTCTATTTAAAAATACAAAAATTAGCAAGGCATGGTGGTACACAACTGTAATCCCAGCTACTTGGGAGGCTGAGGCAGGAGAATTGCTTGAACTCGGGAAGCGGAGGTTGCAGTGAGCCGAGAGTGCGCCATTGCACTCCAGCCTGGGCCACAGAGCAAGATTCCATCTCAAAAAAAAAAAAAAAAAAAAGCCGGGTGCGGTGACTCACGCCTGTAATCCCAGCACTTTGGGAGGCCGAGGCAGGTGGATCACGAGGTCAAGATATCGAGACCATCCTGGTCAACATGGTGAAACCCCATCTGTACTAAAAATACAAAAAATTAGCTGGGCACGGTGGTGCGTGCCTGTAATCCCAGCTACTCGGGAGGCTGAGGCAGGAGAATTGCCTGAACCCAGGAGGCGGAGGTTGCAGTGAGCCGAGATTGAGCCATTGCACTCCAGCCTGGATAACAAGAGTGAAACTCCGTCTCAAAAAAAAGAAAAAAAAAAAGCTGGGCATGGTGGCATGTGCCTGTGTCCGCTACTCACGAGGCTGAGGCGGGAGAATCACTTGAGCCCAGAAGGTGAAGGTTGCAGTGAGCCGAGATCACACCACTGCACTTCAGCCTGGGCGACAGAGAGAGACTCTGTCAAAGAAAGAGAGAGGAGAGGAGAGGAGAGAGAGAGAGAGAGAGAGAGAGAGAGAGAGAAACATCAAGAAAACACTCTTGTGAATTTGACTATCAGTCTCAAGTCCACACCTCATGGCCAGCTCCTGTGGACTACAAGACAGGTCCCCTGTCCCTGAACCCAGGTCCTCATTGGAACCAAAAAATGTCTTGGCATTTGCTGAGTCTCAAGCTCTGGAACCAGAGAGGGAGGAGGGTTCAGTCGAGACTCAATTCCAACTCTGTTAGTCAAGTTTGTTTTTCTTTTTATTTTTTGAGACAGGGTCTTGTCCTATCACTGAGGCTGACTGCAGAGGCATGATCATGGCTCACTGCAGCCTAGACCTTCCTGGGCTCAAGTGATCCTCCTACCTCAGCCTCCCTTGGATCTGGAGCTTCAGGCTCGCACCACCATGCCTTGCTAATTTTTTGTATTTCTGGTAGAGATGGGGTTTCGCCATGTTGCCCAGCCTGATGTTGAACTACTGAGCTCAAGCGATCCACCCACCTTGGCCTCTCAAAGTGCTTGGATTACAGGCGTGAGCTACTGCACCTGCCTGTTGGTCGTTAGTGATGATCGCCAAATATTTCCAATGCTGTCTTCTGGATGCATGGTAGGGCTGTTCTCTCTTGGCCACTTATGGCTGGGTAAAGTCATGTGACTTTTTCTGGCCTATGAGCAGTGAGATGAAATAGTGCATCATTTCTGAACCAGAGTATTTAATTATGGGTATGAGGCCTTCTAGATACGTCTTTCCTCAGTTACAGTGACCCAAAACATTCCTGATAGTGACTACTCTTTTTTTAGAGACACTCTGTCATCCAGGCTGGAGTTCAGTGGTATAGTCACAGGTCACTGCAGCCTTGAATTCTTGAGCTGAAGTGATTCTCCTGCTTCGACCTCCCAAGTAGCTGAGAATACAGGTGCATGCCTCTATGCCCAGCTAATTTTAAAAGGTTTTTTAGAGATGAGATTTTGCTATGTTTCCCAGGCTGGTCTCAAACTCCTGGGCTAAAGCGATCCTCCTGCCTCAGCCTCCCAAGTAGCTGGGACTACAGGCATGAGCCACTGCACCCAGCTCAGAAATTACTTTTGTATCATTTTTACCCCCACCAAGACTTTGGTGCTATTTGTTATAGTGGCATAAACTGACTTGTCCTGACTAATACATTACATCATCGACATCACAGCATCTGAGTCTAGCCAAGGGCTTCTATGTTAGTTTACTAGGGTTGCTGTAACAAAGTTCCACAGATGGGGTGACTTCAGCAACAAAAATGTGTTGTTGGCCAGGTGCGGTGGCTCACATCTGTAATCCCAGTACTTTGAGAGGCCAAGGCAGGTGGATTGCTTGATCCCAAGAGTTCAAGACCAGTCTGGGAAACATGGCAAAACCTTGTGTCTATCAAAAATATAAAAATTAAGCCAGGTGTGGTGGCACGTGCCTGTGGTCTCAGCTATTCAGGAGGGTGAGAGGATGGTTTAAGCCTGGGACGTGGAGGTGGCAGTGAGCTGAGATGGTGCCATTGCACTCCAGGGTGGGCAACAGAGCCAGACCCTATCTCAAAAAAAAAAAAAAAGAGAGAGAGGGTGGGAGTTATCTCAGGGATCTTCCCTTCATCTTTGGAGCAATGATAATTCAACAAATATTTACTAAGCACCTACTGTGCCTACTGTGAGCCAGGAGCCCTCCGATGCAAGGTTTTTCCAGTGATGGATCTTATATTCGAGTGAGCCTTGCAAAGACAGGTTATAAACAAGTAAACAAGTGAGGCCGGGTATGGTGGCTCGTGCCTTTGATTCTAGCGCTTTGGATGGCTGAGGCGGGAGATCAGTTAAGCCCTGGAATTTGAGAACAGTCCAGGCAACATAGCAAGACCCTTGTCTCTACCAAAAAAAAGTTTAAAAATTAGCCAGCTGTGGTGATGCTTACCTGTAGTCCCAGCTACTTGGGAGGCTGAAGTGGGAGTATCGCTTGAGCCTGGGAGATTGAGGCTGCAGTGAGCTATGACTTCACCACTGCACTCCAGCCTGGGCAACAGAGCGAGACCATCTCTAAAAAAAAAAATAATAGTTAATTAAAACTTTTAGGCCAGGTGTGGTGGCTCACCCGTGTAATCCCAGCACTTTGGGAGGCCTAGGTGGGTAGATAACCTCAGGTCAGGAGTTAAAGGCCAGCATAGCCAATATGGTGAGACCCCATCTCTACTAATAATACAAAAGTTATCCAGGTGTGGTCATGGATGCCTGGAATCCCAGCTACTTGGGAGGCTGAGGCAGAATAGCTTGAACCCAGGAGGCAGAGGTTGCAGAGAGCCAAGATCATGCCACTGCACTCCAGCCTGGGTGACAGAGCAAGACTTCATCTCAGGAAAACAAAGACAACTTTATACCTGTAATCCCATCACTTTAGGAGGCCAAAAGAGGCAGATTGCTTGAGTCCAGAAGTTCGAGACCAGCCTGGACAACAGGGTGAGACCCCACCTCTACAAAATAAAAATTCAAAACTAGCTGGGTGTGGTGACTTGCACCTGTAGTCCCAGCTACTCGGGAGGTTGAGGTGGGATGATCACTTGAGCTCAGGAGGTCAAAGCTGCCGTGAGCCGTGATCGCACCACCACACTCCAGCCTGTGTGACAGAGTGGGATGTGTGTCAAACAATAGTAACAATAAAGTAAAACAATAAAAAACAAATGAAACAACTGTGACTAATGAAGTGCTGTAAAGGCAAAGAGACAGGGCCCAGCAAGGACAGGGAAGTTACTGTACACAGTCCGAAGAGGTGACAATTGATGACAGGCTTAATAAGCTACACAGAGAGTAAAAAGCCCAATTCTGGGCTTTGAGCCAGCAATAGATGGAGAATTTGAGGAATAGAATGAAGGATGGTACAACCAGGGTGGAAGGGGAGCCAGTTAGGACGAAGACACCAATAGGTGCCAAACTATGGACTGAACTTCTGGCTTAATGTCCCCGCCACCATCCACCCTCAAAACCCAGAGATCTGGAGAGTGCAGGGATATCAGGGGCTTGGAGGGAAAGATACAGAGGGGACGTCAGTAGCACCTCGGACAGCACCCTCTCTGTCCATGGTGCTGACAGCACAAGGCACTGACGGTTGGTGGGAACGTAAAATGGTGCAGCTGCTGTGCAAAAGTTAGGTGGTTCCTCAATTCAACGCAGAATCTCCATATGGCCTAACAATTCCATTCCTGGGCATCTAACCAAGGAAACTGAAAGCAGAGATCTAGATACCTGCACACCCGTGTTCACAGCAGCATGAGTCACCATAGCCACAAGGTGGAAGAACTCAAGTGTCCAACTGATGAACCAATAAACACCATGTGGTCCATCCATACAATGAAATATTATTCAGCCATAAACAAGGAAACAGTTCTGGCTGGGCATGGTGCCTCACGCCTGTAATCCCAGCACTTTGGGAGGCCAAAGCGGGCCAGTGTGAGACCAGCCTGGGCAACATGGTGAAACCCCAACTCTATTAAAAACACAAAAATTAAGGCCAAATGTGGTGGTACATGCCTATGATCCCAGCACTTTGGAGGGCTGAGGTAGGTGGATGGCTTGAGGCCAGGAGTTTGAGATGAGCCTGGCCAACATGGTGAAACCCCATCTCTACAAAAAATAAAAAAATTAGCCAGGCATGGTGGTGCTCGCCTGTAGTTCCAGTTACTTGGAAGGCTTAGGCAGAATCACTTGAATCCAGGAGTTGGAGGCTGCAGTAAGCTGAGATTGCAGCACTACACTCCAGCCTAGGTGACAGAAGGGAAGCACGGTCTCAAAAATTAAATAGGTAAATAAACACACACAGAATTTAGTTGGGCGTAGTGGTGGGTGCCTGTAATCCCAGCTACTCAGGAGGCTAAGGCAGGAGAATCACTTGAACCTGGGAGGTGGAGGTTGCAATGAGTGGAGATCATGCCACTGCACTCCAGCCTGAGCGACAGAGCGAGACTCTGCCTCAAAAAAAAAAAAAAAAAAAAGAAATTTCGGAGTACCACATCAGGCCCCCAAGAGCATCTGTGAGCTCTGGAGGGTGGCATGGAATGTTTGGGTGTTGTCTGGAGTCAGCATTGACTTCTGAGGAGCCAGAGAGGGGGCAGAGTGGGGAGAAGCAACTAGTGGGGCTCCTTGTGAATTCTAGAAAGGCACTCCCCACAAGGGGCAAGCACCAGGTGTGTCAGACCGCATACCCCGCCATCCTGAGCACAGAAGGTGAGCCCCCAACCTGAAGATGACAGAAGGCCATTTCCAAGAGGTGAGTTTATTGGGGGAGGGGACTGGTCAAGTCATCAGTGCAGCACTGTGCCCCCTCGGGGCTGGTCAATCCAGTGTGTGGGCCCCGGAGGTCACAGGCATAGCAGCAGGAGAGGGGGTGAGTACCCCCACAGGGCCATCCCCAGCCCAGTCCAGGGGCGGGGACAAAGGGGTGACCCCTGGCGAGGTCCTCAGGCATCTGTGGCTGAGCCAGGTGGCTCCTGGGGCAGACAGCGCCGGTGCCGGAGAATCGACTTCTCCTCCTCCTGCAGGGACAGGTCACATATGCGCATGTCACCAGTATGGGACACTGATACCTCACTGCGCACATGTCATCCAGCACCCAGCATATAGGTTCTCAGATACACCCCCTCCCACTGTACTCATGACCCTCCCGAGGATGTGAGGGGCCCTGGGCTGCCCATTCTCACCATCTCAGAGGCGGTGCTGGGGCTTGCGCCCTCAGGGGACCCCCCTTCATCCCTTGAGCAGTCGGGTCCAGCATCCTCCTCATACTCTGTCAGGCAATCTGACTCTTCTCCTGGAATGGGGAGCAGGGCATGGGTGAGGGGATCAAGGCTGGCCTGACAACTCAAGCCACTCCCCTCCCTCTTGGGAGTCCCCTGGGCACCTCACCATCAGCACAGCCATCGGAGACATAGCTCGTGGGGGGCTCAATCCGGGACACAATCTCTGCCAAGTCAGTGAAACCAGAGCTTGGGAAAGCAAGCACCTGTGGGGTGACGTTGGTGAGGCTCTTGGGGAAGTCATAGAGTCTTGGAGCCCCTGGGGGGCCCAGTGGTGCATTTGGGGCTTAGAGAAGATCCTAGGGTGGGAACTCTCTGAAGTCAGCAGAGGTCTGAGAGCTCAGCAAAACCCAGGGATATGTGGGGCCATCTGAGATTTGTGGGAGACTTTCGGGGGCTCGGCTTTGGAATCACTGGAGTCAGAGTGGCCCCAGTATGGGAGCATCACAGGCTTACATCTGCACGGCGGCTCTCATTGAGGTCTGCAGACCGCCGGTCTGTGAGCATTTTCTCAATGACGTTGCCACGGCTCCAGCCTCCAAACACTGCCTTTCCGTACTGGTAGCCCACATCCTATGGGAAGTGAGGGGCTAAGTCCATGCCTGCAATCTTGCTTTGCTTGTCCCCACTCTGTCTGCCCCTTCTCTGGTCCCTCAAAAGCCTGATGTTCTGGAGGAGCTGGCATTTGAGACTAAACCTATTTCACAGTCAGCTGCACATGGCACACTCACCCACACATTCCCTGTCCTGCTGTTGACAGACATTACCAATCAATCTCTCCATGTTCTTTCCCATTTGGCCCCAGGCAGGGTGTTGGGTACCAAATAACACAAGGTGATGATGTGCAAGCTTACTCTGAAGTCGGCAAACAGGGAGTACATCTGTGGATATCGCCATCTCCCAAGTCCACAGCAAACATTTTAAGTTTCTCATGGCATGCTAGCCCAGTGAGCCCACAAAGGACATCATACATTTCTACTCAGACTCAGGGCTTCTGGGCTGCAGCTACTGATCTATTTCTTTTTTAAAAAAAATGTTTATTATTTTAATATTTAATTTTAAAAATCATTATTTTTTGAGACTGCACTCCCAGGCTTGAGTGCAGTGGCACAATCTTGGTTCGCTGCAACCTCCGCCTCCTGGGTTCAAGCGATTCTCCTGCTTTAGCCTCTCAAGTAGCAAGGACTACAGGCATGTGCCACCACACCTGGCTAATTGTTGTATATTTAGTAGAGACAAGGTTTTACCACGTTGACCAGGTGGTGTCGAACTCCTGATTTCAAGTGATCTGCCTGCCTCGGCCTCCCAGAATGCTGGAATTATACGCATGAGCCACTGTGCCTGGCCCTTTCTTTTTCTTAGAGACAGAGTTTTGCTCTGTCGTTCAGGCTGGAGTACAGTGATGCAATCACAGCTCACAGCAGCCTTGAACTCCTGGGCTCAAGCGATCCTCCCACTGCAGCCTCCCGAGTAGCTGGGGTGACAGGCATTCACCACCACACCCAGCTAATTTTTTATTTTTAATCTTTGTAGAGTCAGGGTGTTGTTATGTTGCCCAGGCTGGTCTTGAACTCCTGGCTTCAAGCAATCCTCCCACCTCAGCTTCCCAAAGTGCTGGGATTACAGGTATGAGTCACCATGTCTGGCCCCCTGATCAATTTCAGTTGGCTAGGGTTATGGGACGTTTTTCAGGGTCGGTGGCATCTAACACACACGTTGCTACCGCCCTCTCTTGGACCTGTGACAGACATCACTACTACTCCATCACTAGTCTTATTCCCAACGCAGAAATGGCACTAGAAATTGCTATACAGTGCTTCCAGGAGTGCAGCTGGCTCAAAAGGAGAAACAGTTAGTGCACAGCCACACCCCTACCACATCCCCTGCAGACATCACTAACGGATCACAGATCTGTTTCCCACAGATTCCAGATGGGATTCCTGGATTCCTCCCCCTCACACTGCTCTGGGCTTTAAGTGGCAAAGCTTTGCCAAACCACCGGCAATGCTTTGCTTCTTAAATATGCAGGCACCATGCCACTCCTGCCCACTCACATAGATCTGGTCGAACTTCCCGAAGTCCATGGTCTTGAAGCAGTCAATGGGCGGGCGCAGGTACTCGCAGTAGGAACTAGACTTGACCACCTCCAGCTGTCGCACACAGGACACGTAGGCCAGGCGGGACTGGATCTCGGCCATGTCTGGAACCTTCACTTTGTCCGCCCAGGGGTTCAGCCGTTTCCACAGCAGCCACCAGCCGGACAGGCTGTCCCCATAGGTGCTAAGGTCTGTCTCATCCTGGCTCCCCACATCGATGGCGATGACCGTTTTGGCACCCATGCTGCGGGCGATGTCCGCTGTGGGGCCAGGGGGGTCAGCAGGCTGCTCTCCCCTCGGGGGCCCGGGGCAGAGATGTTCAACCCAGTTGTACAGATGCCATCATGCAAATGATCACACATAGAAAAACCATATATGCAAACAACATGCTGTCATGTACAGGGTGGAAAATGATGCAATTTAAGTTGAGGGGGTGGGATCCGGTGTTGGGTTTTTTTGTTTTGAGACAGTGTCTGATTCTGTCATCAGGCTGGAGTGCAGTGGTGCCATCTCAGCTCAGTGCAACCTCTGCCTCCCCGGTTCAAGTGATTCTCCTGCCTCAGCCTCCTGAGTAGCTGGGATTAGAGCCAGACACCACCATGCCTGGCTAATTTTTTATTTTTAGTAGAAATGGGGTTTCATCATGTTGGCCAGGCTAGCCTCGAACTCCTGACCTCAAGTGATCCGCCCACCTCGATCTCCCAAAGTGTTGGGATTACAGGTGAGAGCCACCACGCCCAGCAAGTATTGGGAGTCCTGAGTTCTGGGGAATCAGGGACAAAGGCAGTGGGAGAAGAGACAGGAGGCCAGACACAAGGGAAACAGAGATGTAGAAGGAGAGAGAGACAGAGAGACAGAGTAGAGACAGCAGGAATAAGAGACACCCAGGTCAGACACAAAAAGGAGCAAGAACCCAGGCACAGAGGGGGTTCTCGAGGTTGAGATAAGGGACAGAGAGCAAGGAGAAGGGACTGGGGGAGACTAAGGAAGCGGGACAGAGAGTGGATGGGGGTGGGTGGTGTGTCCATGGGCCTGTGTCTGCATGGCTGTGTGCCTTAGGGAGAATCTCCCAGTGATTCTGGGGAAGCAAAACCAATGTCCTGTAGCCAGACCCAGCCCAGGAAGACACCCAGTTCTCTACTGGACTTTACACATGCATCTCCTGTAAGCGATCTTGAATGTATATCCACTTGTGCCTAACACAGCACACCAGCAGGTGGATGGAGATTTCAAACAAGCTCCCTAGAGCTTCTCTACGGGTTTAGGTCCACGTGTCCACATCCATGTGTCCGTGTGTTCCTGCTTGCAGCCCTGCTGTCTAAGACCCCATGGGAGGTTGTTTCTGCAAACAGGTCCATCTCTGGCTGTGCCTTCATCTCTGTAGACACACCCAGGCCTGTTCATGTTCATTACAGTCCACACAGAGCTGGATCAGTGTCCAGACGTGTTTCCTTGTGTATCTCCGTGCTCTCACCTGCAGGTCTGCACACACATACTTACGTGAACGGGTTTACGACATGTGTTTATCTGTCTAGAAAGCCTATAGCAGTGGGAGGAGTTGGCAAACTCTGCAAAGGGCTGAGAGGAGGTAACTCTGTCTTTGTGGACCACATGATTTCTGTCCCAGTGACTCCGTATCTGCTGCGCAGCAGCAGCCACAGAAATGACTGGGTGGGCTATGTCTCAATCAAATGTTTTATGGTTTTGGTTTCCTTTGTCTCGGAGATGGACTTTCACTGTTGCCGAGGCTGAGGTGCGGTGGCGTGATCTCGGCTCATTGCAACTTCCTTCGCCTGGGTTCGAGCAATTCTCCTGCCTCAACTTCCTGAGTAGCTCAGATTACAGGTGTGTGCCACCACACCCAGCTAATTTTTGTATTTTCAGTAGAGACAGCATTTTGCCATATTGGTCAGGCTGGTCTTGAACTCCTGACCTTAGGTGATCTGTCTGCCTCAGCCTCCCAAAGTGCTGGGATTATAGGTGTGAGCCACCCTGCCTGGCTCAATAAAGCTTTATTTATAAAATCAAACAGAGGGCCAGATTCAGCCTGTGGGTCATAGTTTGCCCACCCCTGGCCTACAAGACTGTAAGCATGTGTGCAGCTATCATACATGTCTATTTGGGTATAAAAAAAATTCTTCTGGGTGTGGAATTTTTTTTGCTGTTTTTTTGAGGCAGTCTCACTCTTTTGCCCAGGCTGGAGGGAAGTGGCACAATCTTGGCTCACTGCAACCTCCTGCCCCTGGGTTCAAGCGATTCTCCTGCCTCAGCCTCCTACTGAGTAGCTGGAATTACAGGCACCCACTACCATGCCTAGCTAATTTTTGTATTTTTAATAGAGATGGGGTTTCACTATGTTGGCAAGGTGGGTCTCAAACTCCTGACCTCAGGTGATCCTCCCGCCTTGGCCTCCCAAAGTGCTGGGATTACAGGCATTAGCCACTGTGCCCGGCCAAAATTTTAAGTTGTGTACCTGCCCGCCTCTCACGTCCACCCATAAAGGTGGCAGGCCTGGCTTAACCAGGTCACAGAGCTATGGCATCCCTTCTACATGTGTGCACATCCGTGCATGTTTTAGGGAACGTCCAGGGCGACTGGGACAGACTGGCTTGCATAGACAGATGACCTCTTTCACTGACACGTGCTCACCTGTGCTCATGTACCTGGCTGTGTGTACACGTGTGCATGTGCCTTACCCGCCCCTGAGGGAATGCATGTGTGTGTGTAGCTGGTGTGCATGCATATGAGTGTCGCATTTCACCTGCATGTTCCCTGATGTGCATGTGGACATGGGCACCCTTCCCTCAAGTGTACACCCATTTGGGCTTAACACAACACACCAGCAGGTGGCTGTAGTTTTTTTTTTTTTAAACGGAGTCTTGCTCTGTCACCCAAGCTGGAGTGCAATGGCACCACCTCGGCTCCCTGCAACCTCCACCTCCCAGGTTCAAGGGATTCTCCTGCCTCAGCCTCTGGAGTAGTTGGGATTACAAGCACCCACCACCACACCCAGCTAGTTTTTTGTTATTTTGAGTACAGAGAGGTTTCACCATGTTGGCCAGGATGGTCTCAAACTCCTGACCTCAGGTAATCTGCCTGTCTCAGCCTCCTAAAGTGCGGGATTATTGGTGTGAGTCACTGCACCCAGCCAGGATGTAGATTTTAACCGCACATTTTGCCGTCCATGAGCACATCCATGTATCATCTTGTGCACGTGACTGTGTGTGTGTGTGTGTGTGTGTGCGTGCGCGTGTGTGTGTCTACACCCCTGCACAGGTGGCTTGGGCATGCGTCCTGTCCCAGATTCGGTCTGTGTGTGCCCATGCATGTGGTGCTGGGGGGGGCTCGCATATGTGGGCAGCTTGGGCAGCCACTTGCCTGGCAGGTTGTTGATGTAGCCGCCATCCATGAGCAGGTGCCCGTCCTTGGGGTCGCACAGCGGGGGCAGGTAGCCCGACAGCGTCATGCTGGCGCGCACATACCGCCACAGGGAGCCTGCGCGGTGGGACACACAGACACAGACACGCACAGACACGCTCAGACATGCCGGAAGACCGGCCAGCCCGGTAGACTCGCTGACCTGGGACGTTGTTAACGTAGCACCCATCCACCAGCAGGTGCCCGTCCTTGGGGTCGCACAGTGGGGGCAGGTAGGGGCAGTAGGAGGCGCTGGCCCGGACGTAACGCCACACGCAGCCTGTGGGGATGGCGTGAGGGTGGTAAGGTGCCCGACGAGCCTTCCTGCTCCCCTCCCCTGAGGACAGACGTACCTGGGGTCTCCGGGGCATTAGTGGGTGGCGGTTAGTGGTCGGTGATCGGGCCGGGGTGGACGGTCACTCGTGTTAACAACGTCCCAGACGCTCAGCGGCCCTCCCGGAAGCATCCCCCCAACCCCATGTGGCGTCAGCGGTTGCTGCGGGCTGGGCGGGGACACCCACCATCTTTGTGGACTCGCATGGCTGAGGCAGTGATATCTGTGGTCACGTTGAAGTAAGGCAGCCACAGGTCCTGTAGGGAGAGGGACCGAGGTGGGGGAGGAATAGGGGAACCCTTTCGGGAGGGGTGGGCAGGGCAAGGGATGGGGTGGGCCTACCTCAATCTGCTTATCCTGGAAGACCCGGTGGATGCTGCGGTTAAAGGCAGAGCCAGTGAACATGGAGGTGACTGGGTACGTGAGATCCAACACTGGTTCCAGCACCGAAGTCATGCTCTAGGAACAAGGGGGCCAGACAGGGTCAAATAGAGGTCATGTGGGGTCACAGATAGGGTTCCCCCTAGAGAGTGAGCAAGGAGCACTTAGGGGCCTGGCGCAGTGGCTGACGTCATGACTCCCCCACTACTTTGAAAGCCTGAGGTGGGCAGATCACTTGAGGCCAGGAATTTGAGACCAGCCTAGCCAACATGGTAAAACCCTGTATCTACTAAAATACAAAAAAAATTCGCTGGGTTGGTAGGGCGCGCCTGTAGTCCCAGCTACTTGGGAGGCTGAGGCAGGAGAATCACTTGAACGGAGGAGGTGGAGACTGCAGTGAGCTGAGATCGCACCATTGCTCTCCAGCCTGGGCCACAGAGCGAGACTCCAACTCAAACAAACGAACAACAAAAAAAGGAGCACTTAGGGATGATGTGGTCACCAAGGGCCCTGGGTGCTCTAGCTAGGGGCTATAGGTTGGGGTCACTAGACAGAAAGTCCCAGAGTGGTCACTCAGAGTCCTAGAGGTGTATCTATGAAAGTCCGGACAGGTGGGGTTCACAGATTCCATCAGGAAGGGTCACCCTAAGTCAGGAGGCCCCCCATGGGATGAGGTTAGGGTGGAGCCACGGGTTTTACAGCGCACCTGGGGTGCCACAACCCCTCCTCCCAACACACACCTTGGCCCACTCCCGGGCCCGCTGCTTTGTGCGGCTGGCGCTGCGCTCCTCAGCGTACAGGGCCCCGATGAAAGAGCCAATGGACGTGCCTCCCACCAGGTCCACAGGAACCCCCGCCTCCTCTAATGCCTTCAGCACCCCAATGTGCGAGCAGCCCCTGCCAGGAAAACGGGCCCAGTGACCCTCTAGGCCCCACTCGAATTCCTCTGCCCCTTCCTCCTCCCACCTCCCACACAGCTAAGGAACAAAGGGCAGGCCCGCACTCACAGGGTCTCTCCCGGGAAGCTCCACCCTCGGACACTCAGGCCCCGCCCCCAGAGAGCAAGCCCCGCCCCTCACCTGGCCCCGCCCCCGCCCAGCACGAGGGCAATGGTGTTCCCTGTGAGCACCCTCGCCAAGCGGGAGAAGTCACTGTGCCGGTCCGCGCGCCTGGAGAAAACCTTCTCGTAGAGCTCATGCTGGGATGAAGGAGAGAGCCGTGACCCAGTAGCATGAAGGTGGGGTCCGACAGATACCCACCCCCACACCCTTACCTTTGAACCTGACCCCAGATCTCCCAGGCCCCGCCCCAATATCACAAACCACGCCTAGTAGCCATTCCCCTGAAAAGTGGGGGCCGGCCCGCTCCTCACCAGCTTGGCGGGGCTGCGGCGCGAGAAGAGGCGGCGCGGACAGCGCAGGTGCAGGTGCCCGGAGCACCAGCTACGCATATTGAGCCACTCCACGGTGCGCGTGGGGCCCGCACCCTCCTCTCGGTGCAACAGGACGAGCTGCTTGAGGGCACGCACGGCTGTGTTCTCCAGCATCTGCTCCAGCTGCAGAAGATGGACAGCGGAGGTCACCGGCTGCCCCGCCACCACCTAGCCACACCTGGGTCCTGATTGCCTACCCCCATGCGAGGGTGCATGTGGCCTGGTGTAGGCACAGGAGGGCAAGGGACGGGACCCGAGGTGAGTGAGAGGGGACACGGCCTCCTGACCTGGCCGAGGGTAGGCTCCTGGTCCCCCAGGCCCACGATGAGGATACAGTCAGCCTGGCGCAGGCAGCGCACGGTCCAGGGCGTCAGTGAGGCGTCCGTCTGGTAGAGTACGATGCGGTGTGCGTCCTCCTGCTGGGCCAACCACCCTGACAGCCGGAACTCTTGGATGCTGGGGTGGGATGGGGGCAGCGTCATCCTGGGGCTGGCCTGGGGTTGTGTGCTCCCCAAGATCACATAGCTCCGTTGCTGGGAGGAGCTTAGACACCCAAACTCCCACCATGGAAGTCTGTGCCCCGGTGGGCAGATTCACACCACTGCGAATCTCCCTATTGACCTATGGGTAGGACGCATGTTTCGTGGTTGGAAGATAAGAGCTTTTTTTTTTTTAAAGATGGGGTTTCACCATGATGGCCAGGCTGGTCTTGAACTCCTGACCTCAGGTGATCCACCCACCTCGGCTTCCCAAAGTGCTAGGATTACAGGTGTGAGCCACCGTGCCCGGCCGGAAGATGAGAACTTGAATCTAGGTCTGAAAGAATTTGGGGCTCCAAGCCCACCCATCACCTTCCCCACTCCCTTCCTCGACACACACCTATCCAGTGCGGAGGCCCCCAGGCGTGCCCGGATGATATCACTGTTAAGGAGTAGCGTGGGACCTAGAAGTAGGTGGGGAAGGGAGGTTGGAAACCATGCTCCACAAAGCAGGGGCCTAACTCAGAAGAGAATATCCATTACCCCACCTCTGTGACCCTGGTTCCCCCCCAACCCCCAACCGACCCACCCAAACTCTCTCACTAGTCCCCCCCCATGGCCAGCCCCCACCCATGCCCCTCACCCCACTGACCGATGGCCTGCAGGGCGTGCTGCAGCTCCAGTGTGAAGGCCACCATGGGCACCTCAGCACACACAGGCAGGACTGCCACCGTTGCCAGGTTGCTGGCTGGGTTGGTGAGTTCCGAGTGAGGGGGGACACCCAGCCCAGAGCCTGCTGAGAACCCAATGGATGAGATCTGTGGTGCGAACCTGTGTCTGGAGAGATGAATCTCCATCTCCTCCTCCTCCTCCTCTTCTTCTTCCTCCGCATCTGAAATTCCTCCTGCCCCTCCTCTCCCCTAGCAAACTGCAGCCCCTAGCTGCCCAGAGTCTTGACTCTACCATACTGAAAGCCATAGCTCTAGTCCTGGACCCTCAGCCTCAACCACTGTCCCCTTTTTGGTTAAAACTTGGTCATCCACCCTCTGTGTGGGACCCTAATCACCTCAGTGGGATCCATTACACAACTCTACAACCATTCAGAATCCCTGTGCTTGGGAGATCAATCAATCGGCCAGTGCCCCCACCCCATTCTGGCCTTGGTTTCTTTGTCCAATGGAGGGACCTGAACATAAAACGAGGCAGAAATAAAGGTACTTTTAGCCTGGCCAACATGGAGAAACCCCACTCTACTAAAAATACAAAACAATTAGCCAGGCATGGTGGTGTATGCCTGGAATCCCAGCTACTTGGGAGGCTGAGGCAGCAGAATCACTTGAACCCAGGAGGCAGAAGTTGCAGTGAGCTGTGCCACCGCACTCCAGCCTGGGTGACAGAGTGAGACCATGTCCTTTGTCTAAAAAAAAAAAAAAGCCAAAAGGAAAGAAAAGAAATAAAGCTACTTTTGACCCATTTGTTGCTTCCCAAGTTCTCCACTGACAGCCCAGACCAAGCTGTTGTCAACTCCCATATCTTGCCTAGACCTCTCGCTGCCTTCTCACTGGTGGAATCCCTCCTCCCCTATACCAATCGAACTAAGCTCAAAAACGTGTCCGCAGCCCCTAGCCGCTATGCGACTTACCCCTCAGCCCCGCTCCATCTCTCCCCTTGATCACTTTCCTCCTTTCAGTGCTTCAAAACCACCAGCCACCACTGCAGCACCTCTGGTTTCTCTTCCATGTCTGGCCCCTCTCAATGGTCAAGTCTCAGCTCACTGTCTTTAGAAAAGCGTCTTTCTCCCTCCCTTCCTCCCTCCCTCTGCCAGTCACATGCCATCATGACCCTCTTTTGTCTTCCAGGTATTATATTTGTTATTTATCTGTAATTTCTTTCTTTCTTTTTCTTTTTTGAGATGGAGTTTTGCTCTTGTTGCCTAGGCTGGAGTGCAGTGGCACAGTCTCGGCTCACTGGAACCTCCACCTCCTTGGCTCAAGCAGTTCTCCTGCCTCAGTCTCTCAAGTGGCTGGGATTGTAGGCACCCACCACTAGGCCTGGCTAGTTTTTGTACTTTTATTTATTTAATTTTTTAAGAGACTGAGGTTCACCAAATTGGTCAGGCTGGTCTCGAACTCCTGACCTCAGGTGATTCACCTACTTCAGCTTCCCAAAGTGTTGGGATTACAGACATGAGCTACTGTACTCAGCTTCTGTAGTTTCTTAATGATGTCTTTTCTGCCACTACTGCCCTGCCTCTGCCTTGGGGGATCTGGGGGTCAGGGCCAATTGGGTATCACCCCTCGAGGAAAAAGGGGTATCTAGGTTGCTAGACTGGTCCAGAATATGGCCACCACAATGTAGAAACTCAGGCCCACATTTCAGCAGGCCTCCAACCTACTGCACTCCACATTCTATTCTAGCTCACTGAAACCACAGGCTGAGATGGGGAGCTACATCTCCCAGCATCCCTGTAACTTCAGAAGGCAAGGTGCCCAGGATCTTAAACAATAATCCATTGACTATTTGCCATCACGATATGGGGAGTTTGTTTGTTTTATTTTTTCTGAAACAGGCTCTAGCTCTGTTCTCCAGGCTGGAGTGCAGTGAGACAATCAGGGCTCACTGCAGCCTCTACCTTCTGGGCTCAAGCAATCTTCCCGCCTCAGCCTCCTGAGTAGCTGAGACTACAGGCATGTGCCACCACACTCACCTAATGTTTGAAACTTTTGTAGAGACGGGGGTCCCACTATGTTGCCCAGGCTGGTTTCAAACACAGTATCCTGGGCTCAAGCAATCCTCCTGCCTCAGCCTCCCAAAGTGCTGGGATTACAGGCATGAGCCACCATGCCTGGCCCTGCCATCATATTCTGATCTAGGACTCCCTTTCTCACTACGTCTAGGCTGTGCACTTCCCAGCAAACCCTGACTCCCAGGCAAATTCCAGCACCAAAGATTCAGTCCTCAGCACCACTGATTCACGTTCGGGCCCCTAACTAGCACGCCCGGGTTCAAGGACTCCGTTTCCCAGCATGCTCAGGAAGACGAACTCCAATTCTCAGGATATACTGCACCACGGTCCTACTTCCGGTTTGAAACCGGCCAGGGCAAGATTTATTCACGGAACTCCGTTTCCCAGCATCACTCAGGAAAAAGGCTTCCCTCCCAGCATGCTCTGAGCACGGGACTACATTTCCCAGCATGCCCCGGGCCGACCGGCTCTCACCTGGGAAGGGTCCTTGCAGCTGCTGCAAATTCCCTAGAATTTTCTGGCTCAGCAGGTGGATGAGGCGGGTCACGACCTGCGGGCGTTGGAGACCGGCATTTCAGTGAGACCCGGGAAGCTGCTGTTCGAGTCCCACCTCTCCCTCATCTGCCGGAACTCCTGAGTCCCACCCCCAAGAGCCCCTCCCACGGCCTCGCCCTCCCTAAGTCCCTCCCTTGGGCCCCACGTCCCACCTCCGCCCCTCTGCCCCACCCACAACGGGCCGCACCTGCGGGTACCGACGTTTAATGTGACCCAAGGTGCCCTCGGGGAGCTTGGCCAGCTCCGTGTCGCGCACCGCATGCACCGTCGTGGCTCGCGGCTGCCGGGTCAACGCCTCCACCTGGGGGGCCGCGTGCATGACTGGGGCTGCTTGGGCGGGGAATGGGGAGGCCAAAGATGGGTGGAGAGGGGCCGTACTGCCCCACCTAGGGTTTCCCCGTAATGGCGGTGCAGGGAAGCAAGCCTCGCTCGCGACCCATTAGAACTCCAGGGAGCAGCAAAGGACAGGGATCCACGACAGGCGGGGTTCTCTTTTCCAACGAAATGAAGTCTGGGTAGGGAGTGGACTGGGTGACCTCGGAGGTCAGGAGTTGCTTTCACTATTCCCTGGATTACCCGGGATGATGTGTGCACGTCGTGGGGGGACTGGCCAGAGGTCAGTGGGTGGGGGTGGGTGGGGCCGCGCTCACCACTCCGATGAGGTCGCCTCGGCCATACTCGCCCACCAGCTCCTTCTTGCCACTGCCTCGCTGGATCACGCTACGCAGCCGCCCGTTGAGCACGATGTAGGTGCAGTCGGAGCGGTCCCCCTGCCTGGGTGGGCGTGGCAGTCAGCAAGGTCTTACCAGGTCTAGGTCCCCACCCCTAGGTAGAGCCTGAGCAGGGCAGTAGGAGCTCCACCTGTACAGCGCTCGTCCCGCCTCCACCGCCGTCCAGTCGATGGCAAAGTCCATCTGGCGCACGAAGGGCGACATCCTGGCTGCCACTGTGTGCGCCGCGCTCAGCACCACACTGGGCTGTGCGCGCATGATTCTGCAGGTGAAAGGAGGAGGTGCATGGGCCGGGCCGGGGGTTCCCTGGAGCACCCCAGGAGTGGAGAAAATGGGTGATAACTTGGGATGAAAGAGGAAGGCCTCAAAATTGTCTTACACGGGTGCTGGGAGGCCAGCGCTGGGGGCTCCCTTCTGCTCTTCCAGGAGTGGGATTGAGGGACGGGGTCCCGGACATTCCCACAAGTTAAGGTTCTCTGAGTGCAACCCGCACCCCACCCTCGGGCCCAGTCATACTCGTAGAAGTCGGACTTGGAGATCCGCAGGAAAGTGCAGTCGCGCTGGGCTCGCAGAGTGAAGATGAGAGGTTCTCCAGTGAGCACCGCCAGCTGCCCCACCAGCTCCCCGGGCTGCGCCACGAACAAGCATACATCTTCTGCCTTGTCGATCATGCGCTGGTACACGTGCAGGCAGCCCCAGAGCACGAAGTGTAGGCTCACATCCTGTGTGGGGAGGGGCCGAAATGAACACTGAACCCGGACAGCGTGGACCCCACCCCAGCTTAGGTCAACGTGCCCCACAGGAAGAATATATAAAGAAGGAAGGAAGGGTTAAGAAAAATATGGGTTGAGCCAGTGGCTCACGCCTGTAATCCCAGCACTTCAGGAAGCTGAGGCAGGCAGATCACTTGAGGTCAGGAGTTTGAGACCAGCCTGACCAATATGGTGAAACACCATCTCTACTAAAAATACAAAAATTAGCTGGATGTGGTGGCATGTGCCTGGAGTCCCAGCTACTCAGGAGGCTGAGACAGGAGAATTGCTTGAACCTGCGAGGCAGAGGTTGCAGTGAGACAAGATGGCAACCTACACTCCAGCCTGGACATCATGGCGAGACTCCTGCTTTAAAAATAAATAAATAAAAGGCAAAGAGTTAGCTTATAACCCAGCAATTTAACTCCTAGGTATATACCCAAGAGAAATGAAAACATATGTCCAAGCTCTTTGGGAGGTCAACACAGGAGGATTACTTGATCTCAGGAATTCAAGACCAGCCTGGGCAACACAGTGAGACCCTACCTTAAAAAAAAAAAAAAAAAAAAAAGGAGGCTGGGCGAGGTGGCTCATGCCTGTAATCCCAGCACTTGGGGAGGCCGAGGCAGGCGGATCTCAAGGTTGGGAGATCGAGACCATCCTGGCTAACACAGCGAAACCCTGTCTCTACTAAAAATACAGAAATTAGCTGGGCGTGGTGGTAGGCACCTGTAATCCCAGATACTTGGGAGGCCGAGGCAGGAGAATCGCTTGAACCTGGAAGGCGGAGGTCGCAGTGAGCAGAGCTAGCGCCATTGCACTCCAGCCTGGGCAACAGAGACTGTGTCTCAAAAAATTAAATAAAACTTTCTTTCATTCTTCTTTTTACTCTTTTTTTCTTTCTTTCTCTTTTTCATTCTTTAAAATAAAACAAAATAAAGTAGACTGTGGTAATGGTTACTAAAAAGCATATATACTTTTTTTTTTTTTTTAAGACAGGGCTCACTGCAGCCTCGACCTCCTGGGCTCAAGTGATTCTCCTGCCTTAGCTTTCCATGTAGCTAGGACCACAGGTATGTGCCACCACATTTTTTTGTTTTTTTGTAGAGACTGGGTTTCACCATGTTGCCCAAGCTGGTCTTGAACTCCTGGACTCAAGAGATCCTCCCCACCTTGCCCTCCCAAAGTGGAGGGCATGCTGCATTACAAGCATAAGCCACTGTGCCCGACCTAAAATACATACTTCAAATGGGGGAACTGTATGGTACATGAAATATAGCTCAATAAACCTATTACACGACCCCCAAAAATACTGTTCCACTTGAGGCCCACTTACTTCCTGTTTCTTAGAGATCAACTTGTTTCTTCTGACCGACCACACGCCATTTGCACAAGCTCTTCCCTTTGCTGAGAATGACCTTTCCTCCCGCTGTACTGTTTGTTCCTCCCCCTCCTTTCTTCTTAGGTCATGCCCTCAGAGATGCCACCCTGTCTAAGCCAGACTTTGTAACGCCAAGATCATCCCCTTTGTAGCGCTAAGCACTTATGATTTTACAAGGCTTGGTGTAATCCTTCAAGAACACTGTGGGCTGTCCAAGGGCAGGGACCACTGAGGGCTTGTCCTGCTTTTTTTTTGAGGCAGAGTCTCACTCTGTCGCCCAGGCTGGAGTGCAGTGGCACAATCTCGGCTCACTCCAATATCTGCCTCCTGGGTTCAAGCGATTCTCCTGCCTCAGCCTCCCAAGTAGCTGGAACTTCAGGCACCCGCCACCATGCCTGGCTAATTTTTATATTTTTAGCAGAGATGGGGTTTCACCATGTTGGCCACGCTGGCCTCGAACTCCTGATCTCAAGTGATCTGCCCACCTCAGCCTCCCCAAGTGCTGAGAGTACAGGCATGAGCCATGATGCCCAGCCCTTTCTGCCTCTTGTCCAGCCCCCAGACAGCGTCCAGGATGGAGAAAATGCTGGGTAAACATGTTTCTTTCATCTTTGGGTAGCCTGACCAGCCAGACACCTGTCTGTTCCTTATTTATAAAGGGGTCCTGTCCACCCCTTTATAAATAAGGAACTGAAACTGCCCAGAAATGGAGAGATATCTTCTTTATCCACCACACCCACCTGTCTGGGACCCAATGAAGCTCCACCCCCTAAAACCCTGCAGGGACCCCTGGGTGAGGTGCCAGTCCCAGGAGATTTCAACACATGGTGGAACTTTCTAAGACAGAATTTCCAGACTGTGGCCAGGTGCGGTGGCTCACACCTGTAATCCCAGCACTTTGGGAGGCCGAGGAGGGCAGATCACTTGAGGCCAGGAGTTTGAGACCAGTCTGGGCAACATGACAAAACCCTGTATCTACTAAAAATACAAAACTTAGCCAGGCATAGTGGCACATGCCTGTAGTCCCAGCTGCTAGGGAGGCTGAGGTGGGAGAATCACTTGAATCCAGTAGGCAGAGGTTGCAGTGAGCCGAGATCGCACTACTGCACTCCAGCATGGGCGACAGAGAGACACTGTCTCAAAAAAAAAAAAGTTTCAAGGAGAAGCACAGCAGAGCAGGGCTCCCTACCAAAGTTCACCCAACCCCAAGAAGCTCTGCGGGGCTGCAGACCAGCCTGGTACATTGACAGGCCAGGGCTGGGTTGTACCCAACAGAGTCTCCCAGATAAGGAGGGCCCAGGGGACCCCAAAGAAGCCACAAGGTGACCTTACTTCCTCAGCTGTACCAAGAACAGCTGGCAAAAGCCTCAACTTCCTCTCCAGAAACAGAGCCCATCCCTGCCATGTGCAGCCGAAGGGGACAGCAGAGTCACTGGCTCAAGTAACACAGCAACAACCTAGCTGGCTAACAGTGCAACCACAGCCCCCACCCCACCCCAACCCTGGCCCCAGCTTCTCTCCCCCAAGCCTTGGGTGCTGTTGGGGTCCCAGTACCTAGGACAGTTCATTGTCACCTCAGGTCCCCCCTCACTGTAAGCTGCTGCTAAACTCCCTCCCTGGGTGCCTGTCACTCTTGCAAACCTCACACTGTGGATAAGGGACCGGATCGTTCCGGTGTGCTGCTCTGTACATTTCAGCATTCCTGGTCTCTACCACCAGCTGTCAGGAGCAGCACCCTGTGAAGTCCTGACAGTCAAACATGTCTCAGTAGGCCAGGTGCAGCTTCTCACGCCTGTAATCCCAGATCTTTGGGAGGCTGAGGCGGGTCGATCACCTGAGGTCAGGAGTTCAAAACTAGCCTGGCCAACATGGTGAAACCCCATCTCTACTAAAAATACAAAAATTAGCTGGGCTTTTTTCTGGAGAGAAAGTTGGGGCTTTTGCCAGCTGTTCTCGGTACAGCTGCGTTACGACTCTGTAACGCCAGCTACTAGGGAGGCTGAGGCAGGAGAACTCCTTGATTCCAGGAGGCGGAGGTTGCAGTGAGCTGAGATCACGCCACTGCACTCCACTGTGGCCAATAAGAGCAAGACTTTGTTTCAAAAAAAAAAAAAAGAAAAAGAAAGTCTCAGTCTCATTGGGGTTCTGCGAACTGAGTGTCTCCTCTTTATTGCCCCATTCCACTGATAAGGAAGCAGAGAACCTTCTAGATCATCCATCCTCTGCCACACTTTGGTGGCAGAGTGTGGGTTTCCACTTTCCTCCTCTTCCTCCTACCCTGGGGTTTCCTTTCAGCTGGTGGTCAGGTCGCTAACCCTTGATGGGCCTCAGTTTCCCCATATGGACAGTGGACAGACTGGCAGGATACATTTTCCTACATATCCTCGGTGCCTCCAGGAGGCCCCAAAACCCCGCCCCCAGGGCTGGTTCATGGCCTTCCAGGGCCAGATGGCGATTTGTAGCCATTTATTGAGCCTTTATCCTGGCAGGGGACAGGGTGAGAAGCAGACACGCTAGTGAATACTGCAGGATCATAAGTTCAGAAAACAGAATGACAGGAAGAACCAGGGCAAGTGGAAGAGCTCTAGGAGCTGGGGGTCCTAGGACCAAAGGTTCAGGGGTCACAGGTGAAGGGTTGACAGGTCCAGAAGACATGGGGTAGGGTTAGGGGTGGTGGTCACAGGATCCAGGGATTACAGGTTGGAAATGATAGGACGAGAGGGGTCTGCTTCTACAGGGAAAGGTGCAGGTCTTACAGTCACAGGGCAGGGAGCAGAGGTCACAGAAGTCAGAGGGAACAATCTCAGGTGGCATGGTTAGAGGTCAGGGGTCAGCCTCACCTGGTCGCCCTGGCGGGCAATGATAGTGCCAGCTTTGGCGTGATGCAGCAAGACTCGGCTATTCAGGAGGGAGGGGTCCTGGGGAGGGAGGGAGGGGGTTGAGATGGGCACAGCCAGACCTCCCTTGTGCCCCATGCCCAGCTCCCCTTGGCGGCCCACCTCGATCCGCATCAGCTTGGCCAGCTCCCGCTTTGCCGCCTCAAAAATGCTGCTGGTCTGGCGGCCCTGGTAGGGCCCAAAGGGGCAGCCACCGGTGGCCGATTCATCCTCACAGTAGCTGTATTCGCAGGCGCCCGCAGGCTGCTCACGTGGCTCCTGAGTGGGGGTCTGAGTGGGACAAGCTTGTGACCTCCTGCTGCTCCTTCCTGGCCACCTTCCCCCAGCAGGCTCCACCACTGGCCAGGGTCCCAGGCCTTACCCTAGCGGGGGCTGTCTGAGACCCCCCAGAGGCCTCTTCCTGCAGGGACACGGAGATCCGGCCACGCTCATAGGCCATGTCGAAGTCGGAGCGGGGACCGCCCTGCAAGCCTGCAGGTGGGCAGGGGGGCAACAAAAGCCATAAAGATGAGAGTAAGATTTTTAAAAAATGAACCAGATGTGGTGGTGCAGGCCTGTAGTTCCAGCTATTTGGGAGGCTGGGGCTGGAGGATCCCTTGAGCACAAGAGTTCAAGGCTGCAATGAGCTACGATGGCACCACTGCACTCCAGTCTGGGAGACAGGTCTCAAAAGAAAAGAAAAAACACAAGACAAGTAAAGAAATGAGAAAAGAAAAAGATGAGAGTGACCACGGTTGCAGTCTGAGACCAATGGATACCAGTGTGCCAAAGGCCACCTGCTGTAGCAGACATGACTAATTGATGCCTGCACTCTCCCTCTGAATCCTGCTCAACACAGATGGGAGAAGCACGATCTCAATAAACGTCTACGAAAAAGTGCCTGAGGAAGTACTGGCAGTATTCCCATCTTGCATATAAAAAAAATCAAGATGGGCAGGCAGTACCACCTGGATTCAAACCTGGAAGCTCCATGGCCCTCCCCTCAGACCCAGTGCTCCAAACCTGAGATGTCCCCGGGCATGGAGATGCAGCGGCTCAGCAGAGGGGCCGAGGGGGTTTCCAGGGATGTGGGCTTCACAGGGTCCCCTGGGGGAGACACGTGTTCAGGCTCCTACCCCTCAGAGCCACTGGTCGGTTTAGCAGATTGGGAGATAAGGAGACGCCGGGGACTAGTTAAAGCAATTCCAATGGCTCCCTGGGGTTGAGGCCAGAGCTTCCGGGGGACCAGAGAGGAGTCAGACCTGGGGACCCAGCTATGAGGTCCCTGAAGGGCTAGACAGGGTCAGGATGAATCTCTGCAGAACTGAAAAAGGGGTTGGGCGCTGAGACGGGGCTTCCTGGGAGATTGGGCTCTGCCAGCCCCGGTTCCCCGGGTACCTGTAGGTCCAGGCAGCGGAGCCCCGGTGGGGTCAGGTGGCCGGCCAGGGGTCTCCCTGGGCTCGTCTGTAGCTGAGGTGCTGACCATCCGCTTGGAGCCCCGCACAGGGCTGGTGCGCGTTGGGAGGCCGGGGCTGGGGAAGAGGCGCAGGGGCTGGATCTCCTGGGGACAGAGAACAGCTTGTGGCCTGTCCTGGGAGCCCCATCCTGACCTCGTCCCCATCCCCCCATGCTCGCTCCCCGTCATCCACTCACGTGGCTGAAGAGCTCATTGGTCAGACCCAGGTAGTTGTGCAGTGCCAGGAAGGTGACTCGCTGCAGCCGCACCATGATGATCTGCAGGCTCGAGGGGCGTGGCCATTAGATGGGGCGGGGGCAGGGGCAGGGCCAGAAGGTGGGCCAGGCTAGTTCACAGCATGAGGGGTGGGGACACGGGAACCAGGGAGAGACCCACAATCTGGGGAAATGAGGCGAAGCAGTTAAGGGAGGAGTCAGCAGCTGCAGACGTCTGGCTGCTCTGGGCCTGATAACCACAGCTCCAGCGCCTGATGGTTGCTGGGCCCCGGCCCAATGAAGCCTGGAATGGGTGGGGCCAGGGTGGGGTCCCTGGGTGGGTGACGGGAGGCAAAGGCCAGCTGACCTGCACAACCCGAACCAAGCTCTCCGGGTACTTGGTGAAGACAGCAGAGAACGCCTCCACCGGCAGGCGCAGCACCGTGGAGTCCCGGGCCGCCCGGGCAGACACGGTCCGCTGGGGATGCTGGTGACCCTGGGGGAGGGGAGGGTGTGAAGAAAGATCAGGGCAGGGGCTATCGGCAGCATCAGGAATGAATCAGAGAATGGGGACCCGGTGATTTCCTTCAATCCAGTCCCTTGGTAGGTCCTTGTACCCCCTGATCCTGCCCCATCTAATGGCCACGCCCCTGCTGCCCTAGGAACTGGTCACTCACAGTGATGACATCCAGGATGCTGAGAAGGCTGTTGACGCTGTCCCCGGGAACCACTTCCTTCACCACACACTCCTTCCCGTCCTGAGACACAGGGGACCGTGGACCCTCAGTGGCCTTGCCCTGGTGACTAGCATTTTACCCCTCACCCATCCCTATGATCAGTGACGCCTCCCATCCCTTCCCAGGGGAACCCGCCAAGCCTTCCAGCGAGCAGGTATCTCCCGTCGTTCAATACCGGTATCTACTGAGCAACCGTGCAGACCACCCCAAATGTCCTTGGTTACCCTTTCCCCTGACTTCCGATGATACATCTACGATGATGCATCTACAGACCAACACCTGCGGCCCATCCCTACTGGTACCACCCATCCTCCTGCAGCAGCCCCTGCGGGAGCCCACTCACAGGCCCTGGCAGACAGAGTTCCAGTAGCCCGTCCTGCACCACATAGATGCTGGCGTCCGGCTGGCCCGGCCGGAAGACATAGTCACCCTGGCCCAGCCGCTGGAAGACCATGTGGCGGCAGAGCTCCAGGAAGAGCGGCTTCTCAAAGTGGCCCAGCACCCTGTTGGGCAGGCAATGGGGGACAGAGGCAGGAGGTCAGGGAGACCCCAGGTCTGCAGCCCTCCACCCCTGCCCGCACCCCTGACACTGACCGGACATTCTTGAGCATATAAAGCACTTCAGAGGGCAGATGGGAGTTAGCCAGGTCACCCTCGGTCAGGTCGGCCTCCAGAACTGCGGGCGGGGGTTCCTTCCGCTGCAGCGTGGGTGTCTCTTTCTGGATGCGCAGAATCCTGGTGGGAAGAGGGGTGTGGGGATGAGGGGGACAGGGAGAAGGCTCAGGCAAACCTAAGACTTCCACATACTCCCTTCCCCAGGGCTCACATACAGCAAACTCTGACTCGCTGGTCAAATCAGGCCGGCCACCTATTTTTTTTTTTTTTTTTTTTGAGGCAGAGTCTCACTCTTTTACGCAGACTGGAGTGCAGTGGCGAAATTTCGGCCCACAGCAACCTCCACCTCCCAGCTGAAGCAATTCTCCTGCCTCTGCCTCCTGAGGAGCTAGGACTACAGGTGGCCGCCACCATGCCCAGCTAATATTTTGTATTTTTATTAGAGATGGGGTTTCCCCATGTTGGCCAGGCTAGTTTCAAACTCCTAATCTCAGGTGATCCGCCTGCCTCTGCCTCCCAAAGTGCTGGGATTACAGGCATGAGCCATGGCACCCAGCCGGCCACCTATTTTTGTAAATAAAGTTTTATTGGTGCAAAGCCATATTCATGTATTTGCATATCATTCTGGCTGCTCCCTTGCAGCAGAGTTGAAGAGCTGCAATGGAGATGGTATGTGGCTGGCCTGAAACGTTTACTATCTGGCCCTTTATGGAAAAACCCAATGACCCAGACCTAAATTTCTCTGAGATGGCCCCTCCACTAGGCATAGGCCCCTGAGCTGAACCCTTTAGGGAGACAGACCCCCGACACAGCTTCCAAGATAAGGGTAGGCCTGGAAATGGTACCCGTGTTTGTCACAGGGGCCTAGAAAAGGTCCTCCCAGTAGTCACAGAGTAGATTCCTGAGCCAGCCCCCTTAACATGGGTGTGCCTTTGACATGGCTTCCAATATATGAGAAGACCCCACATACAGCCGCGCTGCTCTATGTAAACGTTCCTGAGATAGACCTTCCTCCCAGGTCTCAGAGAACCTTGAGACGGCCCCTCTGATGGCCAGAGATCCCTGAAGTAGCCCTCATCATAAGTGGAGAATCCAAGCTGGGTGCAGTGGCTCATGGCTGTAATCCTAGCACTTCAGAAGGCCGAGACAGGCAGATCAAGAGGTCATGAGATCAAGACTATCCTGGCCATGGTGAAACCCCATCTATAAAAAAATGCAAAAATTATCTGGGCATGGTGGCTTGTGCCTGTAGTCCCAGCTACTCGGGAGGCTGAGGCAGGAGAATCACCTGAATCCGGGAGGGGCAGGTTGCAGTGAGCCAAGATTGCGCCACTGCCTGGCAAGAGTGAGACTCCATCTCACAAACAACATAACAAGAGTGGAGAGTTCAGAGATAGCCCCTCTGCTAATTGTGGACCTGCGTGATACCCTTCCCACAAGTCACAGTGATTGCTGAGAGATCCTCCACTGGCAGAAGATCCCTGCGACAGACCTCAGAAGGTGGGACCCTGAATTAAACTCAGTGATATCAAGAAATTCAGATATAATTCTTTTTTGGCTGGGCGTGGTGGCTCATGCCTGTAATACCAGTATTTTGTGTGGGTGAGGCGGGAGGATTGCTTGAGGCCAGGAGTTCAAGACCAGCCTAGGCAACACAGTGAGACCCCTGCCCCCCAATCTCTGCGAAAAATTAAAAAATTAGCCAGACATAGTTGTGCGTGCCTGTGGTCCCAGCTACTTAAAACGCTGAGGCAGGAGAGGATCTCCTGAGCCCAGGAGGTCAAGGCTGCAGTGAGCTGTGATGGTGCCACTGTACTTTTGCTTGAGCAATAGATTGTGATCCTGTCTCCAAAATAATAATAACAATAATAACAATTATTATTCTTTTTCTGATCAGGGAGATCTTGAGCTATCTCTTCCCTAGGTCAAAGAAAGCTGAGATAGCCCTCTGACAATCATGAAGCTAACAGAGTAGTCCCTTAAGAGTAACACTGGCTGGGCGTGGTGGCTCAGGCCAATAATCCCAGCACTTTGGGAGGCCAAGGTAGGTGGATCATGAGGCCAGGAGTTCAAGATCAGCCTGCCAACATGGTGAAACCCCGTCTCTACTAAAAACATGAAAATTAGGCTGGGCATGGTGGCTCACGCTTGTAATCCCAGCACTTTGGGAGGCTGAGGCAGGAGGATTCCAAGGTCAGGAGATCGAGTCCATCCTGGCCAACATGCTGAAACCCTGTCTCTAAAACAAATAAATAGGGCTGGGCACGGTGGCTCACGCCTGTAATACCAGCACTTTGGGAGGCCAAGGCAGGTAGATCACTAGGTCAAGAGATCGAGACTATCCTGGTCAACGTGGTGAAACCCCGTCTCTACTAAAAATACAAAAAATTAGCTGGGCATGGTGGCGCGTGCCTGTAATCCCAGCTACTCAGGAGGCTGAGGCAGGAGAATTGCATTGCCTGAACCCAGGAGGAGGAGGTTGCAGTGAGCCGAGATCGCACCATTGCACTCCAACCTGGATAACAAGAGCAAAACTCCATCTCAATAAATAAATAAATAAAATTTAAAAACAAACAAACAAAAACACGAAAATTAGCCAGCTCGGGAGGCTGAGGCAGGAGAATCACTTGAACCCAGGAGGCAGAGACAGCAGTAAGACGAGATTGTGCCAGTGCACTCCAGCCTGGGCAAAAAAGTGAGACTCCATCTCAAAAAAAAAAAAAAAAAGACTGTGCAAACACTGAAGACAGGTCCTGTGATGTGGAAAAACCTGAGATATAGATCCTCAAGTGGTCACGGGGAACTTTGAGATAGCACCCCCCCTTTTTTTTGAGACGGAGTTTTGTTCTGTCACCCAGGCTGGAGTGCAATGGCGTGGTCTCAGCCTATTGCAACCTCTGCCTCCCTCGTTCAATTGATTCTCCTGCCTCAGCCTCCTGAGTAACTGCGACTATAGGCGCATGCCACCACACCCAGCTAATTCTTATATATAGATACATTTTTGTTGTTTTCAGGCATATTCCAGCAAGCATAATTTTTGTATTTTTAGTAGAGACGGAGTTTTACTATGTTGGCCAGGTTGGTCCTGAACTCCTGACCTCAGGTGATCTGCCGACCTCAGCCTCCCTAAGTGCTAGGATTACAGGCATGAGCCACCACACCTGGCCAAAACAGCCGTTCTACTCAACTCATAGAAAGCGCTACCACTGCAGGACTACTGATCACAGAGAGCCCTGGGATGATGCCCTAGTGTGAAGACACCCTCCAGGCAGACCTTCAGGTAGACTCCATGATGCAAGGAGATCCCAGGGCCAGCACCCACCTTGCAAAGAGAGTTGGAGAGCCTTTCTCGCAGACCCTGAGATAGCTCCTTGCAACCAACAGGAATCTGAGGTATCCTTCTTATGTTTCTAGTGCAAAAAGTTTCCTGAGATAGCCCCTAGGGATTAGAAACTCCTGAGACAGCTGCCTTAATATGGGAAAAACTCTAAGGTCCATGACACAGAAGAGATGCTTCTTCTTTTTCTTACTTTTGAGACAGAGTCTTGCTCTGTTGCCCAGGCATAATCTCAGCTCTCTCCATCCTCTGCCTCCTGGGTTCAAGCGATTCTCCTCAGCCTCCCGAGTAGCTGGGATTACAGGCCCCTGCCACTGTGCCTGGCCAATTTTTTTTTTTTTTTTATTTTAGTAGAGATGGGGTTTCACCGTTTTGGTCAGGCTGGTCTTGAACTCCTGACCTCGTGATCCACCTTCCTCAGCCTCCCAAAGTTCTGGGATTACAGTTGTGAACTACCTCGCCTGGCCAAGGGAGATGCTTCTGATGTAGAGAGATGGCTGGGATAACCCCTGGAGAAGAGAGGCTGGAGGCTGGAAATAGTCCTTCTAGGAAATCACAGAAACACTTAGAATGATGTCAGTGAGGTACTCTGGAATAAAACCACTCATGTGAGGAGACCCATGAAATAACCCATATGGAGACCCCTGATGTAGATCCCCCCAAATATATGGCAAAACCTCTGAGATAATGACTTGGGAACAAGTAGCTCAGATACCCCAGTGGAAAGAGAACATCACTGAGCTGGCTCTCACGGGACAGAGACCCCTAGAGACAGCGTGTCTGGTATGGAAGAGCTCTAAGATATCCCCTCAGACCAGAGTCCAGAGATGTCCCTCTGATACCAGAAGACTTTTTTTTTTGAGATGGAGTGTCACTCTGTAACCCAGGCTGGAGTGCAGTGGTGCGATCTCAGCTCACTGCAACCTCCACCTGCGGGTTCAAGTGATTCTTCTGTCTCAACCTCCTGAGTAGCTGGGATTAGAGGCGCCCGCCACCACACCCAGCTAATTTTTGCATCCTTAGTAGAGACAGCGTTTCTCCATGTTGGCCAGGCTGGTCTCGAACTCCTGACCTCAAGTGATTTACCTGCCTCCGCCTCCCAAAGTGCTGGGATCACAGGCGTGAGCCACCGCACCTCGCCGATATGGGAATATTTTCACAACACTTTGGCGTGCATTGATGACTCAAAAGGCCCCTGAGATAACCCCCAATACCAAGTCACACCCAGCACAGACTTACTTCTTGGCGATGTTTAGCATCTTCAGTTTCTTCTTCATGCGTGGCCGGGAAGTGGTGGAGACAGAGGTATCCACGAGGGAGGAAGTGGACTGTGACACCTGGGAGAATGAAGGAGGGGATGGGTTAATTGCTAATTCAGAACCTAGGGGAGAGGGGGATGGATCCTGGGGCTCTCCGTCAAGGAGGGGTTGGTGGTAGACTCTTAAGAAATGTAAATAGGGAAGGGGCGGGGCCTCAGTGTGGTCAGGACGGACCGCAGGGGGTCCCGGACTCACCTTCCGCATAATCTTCCGGCCATAGAACAGCACTTTGTCCCTCTTCCGGAACCGATACCGGGGGCCATCCGGGGCTGGGGTTTCTGAGGATACGTGGGGACGGGGGCACTAGGAGCTCTGCGCAGACGCCACGTTGCCAGAGCTGGGGGACTGAGTGCAGACGCCAGCAAATCCCCAACTCTACCGCTTCAGAACCCGGGCATTTGGGCCCCCCACCCCACAGCCTCCCAAGAGGGGCCCCTCGGTTGCTCACTCGGCACTCGCAGCCTCCGCACCACCAGGAGGATAAGCACGGCAGTGACCACGACCGCCACTCCGGCCCCGATCATCACGCCCAGCACCTGAGGGACGAAGGGCACTGGCTGCGGACAGCAAATCCGTCCCGCCCGGCCCTCCACGGGGGCCGGGACATCCTGGACCCCATCCCTCTCCGTCACCTTCGCTCCCGACGAGTTTGTAATCAACTCGTGACTCGATAACCCCATCTGCAGAATGGGCCAGCGCCGCTCGCTCCCCGGGGGCGCGACTCTTCCCGGAGGCCCGGCAGTCCGCAGTGCATGCCGGGAAACGTAGTTCCGCCGGAGCGGACGCAACGTGTCCTCGCCAGAACACGTAATGCGCGCTGAGCATTCCGGAAGTTGTAGTCCCCGCGGCGTCCCACCCTCGCATCCCTCCCCCGCCCCGCCCAGCCCCACCCCTTACCATTCCTGTTTGCAGCGGAGCCTCCATCGGTGGATTCCAGCTGGACAGCAGATCTGCTAGCCCGGAGTCCTGGGAAGTCAAGGAGTCTAAGGAATCCGTGCAAGTTGTCAATCTGGGCCCGACCCTCCCCTGCCTCAAGCCCTGCCCTCAGCTCGAACCCCGCCCCCTGGGGGGGTAGCTTCGCCCACTGTCAGGGGCGCGGCTAGAGGGACGCGGCAGGACTAAGGAATGGGGCAAACCGACCTCCCGGCCCCGGCCAGGAGGTGAGGCGGGTCCCCGGCTTCCTGCCTGGTTCTCTTCGCCTACTCCTAGGGCCTACCAGACGCCCCGTCCGTCCACCCCCACCCTGGGGCCAAAGGCGGACCTGGCACCCACTGTCAGCAGCCTGCAGGCAGGTACCCGCAGGGCACAGTTCCTTGCAGCCGGTGAATTCCTCCTGGGTCACTGCCTTCTGCGGGATTGATCAAGCCTGACCACCCGAGCCCCGAGGCTGCACCCCCTACTCCGTCGAAGACTGAATGCCCCACCCCAGGAAAACTGGGGCCTGCAAGCCGTGGGGTCCGGGAGTGGGCACCTAGATACCCGGTTCCCAACCCAAGCCTGCCCCCGGTTAGACCCAGGGGCTGGGGGGCACAGGAGTTCTCTCAGGGGCACCCGCCGAAGGCGTCTGATACCCACGTTTCAGAAGAGTCCTGGGATGCTTGGGGTGGCGTGGATTTGCAAGGGGCTGCTGGGTTTTGCTGGAGATTTACTACCACGTAGTAGCGAAGTTATGGGGGCTTTATGGCACGGAGCATCACTGGGACTCCGGGACCGATGCTGGCGCCATTGCTGGGAGGCGTAACCAGGGACGCTGGGATTACTGGGATGGGGGTGGGAGGGTACTGGAAAGTTACTGAGAGATTCTGAAGATTACAGGACTACTGCTGGGAAAACCAGGAGGTGGGTGGGTACATTCCTGGGGTGCTTATGAGTGCGGGCCTGGGGAGGGCGTCCTGTCTCCTTGGAAGATACTGAGACATGCTGGAATATTACTGGGATTTTTTGGGGGTAAGCTGAGGATGTTTCGGACACCGCTTGAGTATTAATGAAAATTCGGGGGTCGGGAGAAGGAATCCTGGAGGCTTCGTTTCTTGGAAAATTCCTGGGTGGCAGGTCCTCTTCCACCCCAGGGCACACCTGGCTACCGGTGCGGAAACACCTGCCGGGTAGTGGAGGGATGGGACCATCAGAAAGTAGAAAGTTAACATGAATCGGAGGACAGAACTTGGGAAAGCGGAAGCTCGCTAATGCCCCTCGAAGGGACACGCCTGCGAGACCGACGGAAACCCGGACTTACCCAGGGGCCGCAGCCGGGGTCCACTCCGCACCAACACCGCCAGCGTTTAGGCAGACTCTGCAGGCGCGGCCCCTTTAAATTATTCACAGCAAGGCGTGCCGCAGCCCCACCCCGCCCCCTCCATGCTTAGAGGGCCGACTAAGGCGGCCATGCTGAGTGTGGCCGCGCCTTAAAGGGCCAAACAGCTTAATGCAAGGACTGCTCCTCCGGCTAAAAATGAGAACGACACATTTATTTTCCCTTTTATTGAACACCCTCCCCACCCTGTCTCCCCGCCCCCAAGGGTCCGACTCGAAACGTCCAGGCCCTCCTTGGGCGCGGCAGGGAGCCGATCCTTAAAAGCAAACCCTAAGAATAAATAAGCCGGCAGGGCGGGGGTGGGGTGGGGGGGTGGTCTCCGAAGTCCAGGGGTTAAGGTCCAAAGGCAGTCGAGGTCGAATCAATTCACCAGCAGCGAATGCTCCTCCGAGGGGTCCCTGGAGGAGGGAAGCAGGGAAGAGGGGAGTCAGTTTTCTCTGGCTCGCTCCCCTTTCCCCAGCCCCCAACCCCCAATCTGAATGGGCCAGACCCAGGACTCGAACCTTCCGCAGCAGCAGAGAAGGCTGCAGGCCGAGCCGCTCCCGCGGCGGAACTTTCCAGAGGTCGGGGTGTCCTGGCACTGCGCGATGTAGGCCTGGAGCTCACTCTCCTCTGCACCTGCACCGCCGGGATGCTGGGAAGAGAAGCCGGGAGACTCAGCCTGAAAGTGGCCCCCAATCTCTAAGACCCTTGAAGTCCGCCCTCCACTCCAGCCATCTGCATGGCTTCCCACCCCCCACCCCCGGCCCCGGCCTTTTGCTCTTGCTGGGCCTGCTGACCCATGGTTTCATAGTTTCCTTGCACAGAGAACCCTTCCCTGACCTCTGAACCTAGACACAAGTTGTATCTTTGCCAGTCTGGTGCCCTCTGCTGTGGGCCCAGCACCTAGAGACCTAGAGCCAGACCTGACACGACCTCGGTGCTCAGAAACCATCTACTGAGTGAGCCGGATGCATGCTGAGCCCAGCTGTGGGAGCAGGGCCTGAGTTTGCCCACCAGAGTGGATGCATGTGTGTGGCGTCTAAGTGCTAGGGTGAGACGGGAAGTAGCTCCCAGGGCCTGACTGAATGTCTGTAGGACAGCTGGTGCACGGGGAAAAGGGAGTGGACTCATCTGCCGGTGACACTGGATGTGGCAGGGTCCCAGCCAAGATTTCCTTCTCGCTCAGCCTCACGGAGGGACCATCTTTTCTATAAGTATTTTCCAGCTACTAGGCCTTTGCTTTAGCTATTCCTTCCCCTCAATGCACTGCCCCTTGGGCTCCATCTCTTAGCTCTAGAGACAATGGAAAGGTTCAATGTCTATGCTGTCCAATATGGCAGTCACCGGCAACACTGGCTTTTGGGCAGTGGATACAGGATGGTGCCAGTCAGGAACTGAATTTTCAATTCTACTTCATTTGAATTAATTTTTTTTTTTGAGACGGAGTTTCACTCTAATTACCCAGGCTGGAGTGCGCGATCTCGGCTCACCGCAACCTCTGCCTCCTGGGTTCAAGCAATTCTCCTACCTCAGCCTCCCGAGTAGCTGGGACTACAGGCTGCGCCACTATGCCCAGCTAAGTTTTGTATTTTTGGTAGAGACGGGGTTTCACCATGTTGACCAGGATGGTCTCGATCTCTTCACCCGCCTCAGCCTCCGAAAGTGCTGGGATTATAGGCGTGAGCCACTGCACCCGGCCCGAATTAATTTTTATTTTTTTGAGACAGAGTCTTGTTCTGTCGCCCAGGCTAGAGTGCAGTGGTACGATCTTGGCTCACTGCAACCTCCAGGTTCAAGCAATTCTGCCTCAGCCTCCCGAATAGCTGGGATTACAGGCACCTACCACCACACCTGGCTAATATGTACTTTTAGTAGAGATGGGGTTTTACCATCTTGGCCAGGCTGGTCTGGAACTCCTGACCTCATTATCCACCCACCTTGGCCTCCTAAAATGCTGGGATTACAGGCGTGAGCCACCACCTCGCCCAGCCTGAATTAAAATTTTTTTTCCCCCAGGCAGAGTTTCACCCTGTCACCCAGGTTGGAGTGCAGTGGCTTAATTTTAGCTCACTGCAACCTCTGCCTCCCAGGTTCATGCAATTCTGCCTCAGCCTCTGGAGTAGCTGGGATTACAGGTGTGTGCCACCACGTCTGGCTAATTTTTTATATTTTTAGTACACATGGGGTTTTACCACGTTGGCCAGGCTGGTCTCTAACTCCTCACCTCATGTGATCTGCCCACCTTGGCCTCCCAAAGTGCTAGTGCTAAGATTTCAGGCATGAATCACTGTGCCCAGCCAGAATCAAAATCAAAATTTAAATAGCTGCATAGGGCTAGAGACTAGTAATAGAACATTCTAGAAGTTCGCCTGGACCCACTCTCATACCAATCTAAAGCAGGAGTCCCTCTGTAATCTTCCACTCTTCCTTCATACCTGTTAGGAGCAGGTCATTGGTCGTGGTTGTCTGCTCCTGACCCATTCATCTTGCCCAGAGGCCTTGGACAGATCACGTACACCTGATTCCGACACAGATCTTGGCCCTTACATATATCTGCTGAAAGAATTGTATCTACCTGCCACTTCCACATCCTTCTCTGTCCCCTGATTGCAGCTTGCTGGGAAACCACTGTTCCCAGCCACCCCACTAGACAGAGGACAGGAGGATTAGGAGCATGGCTTCTGGAATCAGACAGCCCTGAGTTGAGCCCAGTTTTACTGCTTAGAAGTTAACCTTGGGTGGGGTCAGAGGGAACTGGGGGCATGGCTGGGGCCTGGGGACGGGGTGGGGTCCCTGGGGGTCAGCCTTAGGAATGGGGCCAGCTGAGGGTCACCATGTGAATGACAATGTCCCAGGGTCAATGACAAGGTCACTGAAACTCTATGACTTGGCTGGGCACAGTGGCTCATGCCTATAATCCCAGCACCTTGGGAGGCCAAGGCGGGTGAATCACTTGAAGTCAGGAGTTCCAGACCAGCCTGGCCAATGTGGTGAAACCTCATCTCTAGTAAAAATACGAAAATTAGCCAGGTGTGGTGGCACATGCCGGTAATCCCAGCTACTCAGGAGTCTGAGGCAGGAGAATCGCTTGACCTCGGGAGGCGGAGGGTGCAGTGAACCAAGATCACAGCACTGTACTAGCTTGGACCACAGAGCAAGATTCCATTTCAAAAAAACAAATAATGGGAGTGTGTGGTGGCTCACGCCTGTAATCCCAGCACTTGAGGAGGCCGAGGCAGGTGGATCAGGAGGTCAGGAGTTGGGAGACCAGCCTAGCCAACAAGGCAAAACCTCATCTCTACTAAAAATACAAAAATTAGCTGGGCATGGTGGTACAGGCCTCTAATCCCAGCTACTCAGGAGGCTGAAGCAGGATTGAACCGGGGAGGCAAAGGTTGCAGAGAGCCAAGATGGCACCACTGCATTCCAGCCTGAGCGACAGAGAAAAAGTCCATCTTAAATAAACAAATAAATAAATAAATAAACCCTATGACTCGGTTGCCCTGTAAAGGTAAAGGCAGACTTAGGCACCCTCCTGGCCCAAGCCCACCTTGCCAAGGCTGAGATGCCATCCATTTCCCCCGTGCCCCCCAATTTCGAATCACCCTCTTTTTGGTTTCAGAGTTGCCCATATTCTTTCCCAGGGTCTTCTCTGTTCACCTGTGGTGTCCCCAAAACCCCTGCATGGCAGACTCTGGGCACCCAGAGCCCAAGCTTAGGGCTGGGTGCGTGTGGCTGTGCGCACGTGACTGACCTTGATGGTGTCGTAGGCGCCGGTGATGAGGGCGATGAAGAGGCTGAGCACCATGTAGATGAAGAGGCTGATGAAGGAGTACAGGTAGAGCTGCGAGAAGAGCCACACCAGGCTGCTGCGGCCCTGCTGCGCCTGCATGGCGGCGAATGTCACGAACATGTCGTCCCCGTTGATGAGCGAGAACAGGCACTCAGACACCATGGACAGTGAGCGGAACTGCAGAGGGGCGGAGGATCAGAGGGAGCCAGGCATGGCCAGAGCCGGGGGCTGGCATCAGGCTGGGGTCCGTGTGAGTGGCCGGGTCCCAGGCTGGGGTCACCATGTGAGTGGCTGGGTCCCGGGCTGGGGGCACTATGTGAATGGCTGGGTCTCGGGCTGGGGTCATCATGTGAATGGTCAGGTCTCAGGGTCAATGGCAGGATCACAGGGCTGACCTAGGGTCTGGGCAGACAAAGCAGGAAGGGGAATAACCCAGATTGAAATAGGGTCACCAGCAACTGTGACAATAATGGCACAGGGTCAGTGTCAGGGTCACCAGAGGCCACGGGAGACAGTGGATAGATTCCCAGAAGTCACCAAGGGGTCATCTGGGGGTCAGAATGTCAATGACAAGGTCATAGGATCAATGTCAGGGTCACTGAAGTTAAAGGGAATGGTGCATGGAATACTAGCAGTCACAATGGGCTTATCTGGGGGTCATGGTGTCGATAACCAGGTCACAGGGTCAATGTCAGGGTCACCAGGGGTCAGAGGAGACAGATCAGAGTACCTGCAGTCAGTATGGGGCCAACTGGGAGTCACAGGGTCAATGACCAGGTCACAGGGTCAATGTCAAGGTCATCAGGGGTTAAAGGGGACAGTGTATGCAGTACTAGCAGTCATGATGGGGACATGGTGTCAGTGACCAGGCCATAGCTTCAATGTCAAGGTTACCAGGGTTTAGAAAGGACAGTACATGGAGTACTAGCAGTCAGTTGGGGTCATCTGGGGGTCAATGTCGGGGTCAACAGGGGTCAGACCTGCTGGTAAGGCCCTGGGGTCCAGCTGAGTCATGCAATGTCACTGGATCTGGGGAGTCCAGGGGTAAGGGTGCTTAGGGGAGGGGGCCAGGGATCCTTCGACTGCAGGCCACACACACTCCAGCCATGGTGGCCCCTACCTTCACGTGATAGGGCCCCAGCACAATCCAGCCACAGAAGCAGTAGCCCAGGTAGATGACAGCCACACAGCAGCAGAAGCGCATGACGCTGGGCAGGGCCACCCGCAGCGTGGCGATAAGGATCTGGGTTGGGGCAGAGGGAGCGTCGCTGA